CTATTAAATGTTATTAAGGAAGGGGTTTGTCATGATATACATAAATCAGTTATAATTACTACTTGTGTAGTGTATTTTAATTTAAAGCCTATTCAGTATTATTAGAAGTATGGTCTTCAGCTTATAACTCATAGGCCTTATGGGAAGTAAATAAAGTATCAAAATGAAAAAACAGCAATGAATATTTGCTAAAGAACCGATAAATAAACTCAAACAATGGAAGTAATTTAATTCTTGATGTGATAAAATAGACTTCTTCAGACGCTAGCTTTACAGAAGCTACAAATAAACTGATAAAGTACAAGTTAGGTGTTTAATGAAATTTACATGGAAAGAACATCATGTGGTGACAATTTTGGGTTGGAAACTTCCCATCTTCTTAGGAACAGCAAAGAGATGGAAGAAACACCCCATAGTGGGGCTGAGGACTTATTTACAGCCCCCTCCAGATGAAACAGATGCAAGGAATCAAGTAATATCTATAATGTGCAAAAAGAGGAAGAACTGAGATCCCACCATAACATGAGGTGGCTACAGAGGAAGAGCTGAGATCCCACCATACCATGAGGTGACTACAGAGGAAGAGCTGAGATCCCACCGTAACATGAGGTGGCTCCAGTGGAAGAGATGAGATCCCACCGTACCATGAGGTGGCTCCAGGGGAAAAGATGAGATCCCACCATACCATGAGGTGGCTCCAGTAGAAGAGATGAGATCCCACTGTCCCATGAGGTGGCTCCAGAAGAAGAGCTGAGATCCCACCATACCATGAGGTGGCTCCAGAAGAAGAGATGAGATCCCACCATACCATGAGGTGGTTCCAGAGGAAGAGATGAGATCCCACCACACTATGAGGTGGCTCCAAAAACAACTCACCTCAATAATTTATGATAGCCAGCCCTCTGATGGGGAGGAGTTGAAAACTAGCAACAGCATAAGGAGTAAGAGAGAGGGGTGAACCTCAGTGATCTATGATAGCCAACCGTCTGAGAAGGAGGAGTTGGAAACTAATAGCAGCAAAAGGAGCAAGAGAGGGGGTGACCCTTTAAGGCTCTTGAGGTAAAGAAACTTGTTGGAACTCCCTAGATTAATCAAAGGGGGAAATCAAAATGAGCAGAGATGACTGTTGACTGCTCATAGGGTCTACTGTACATGTTGCCCTTCTTCCGGTTGTGGGCTATAGTTAAATGCTGGTTGCATCATAGACTAATGCAGTACACATGCAATTTGACCTACTTTGTAACCACCATGTAACCATAAAACTATACATACTATTGCTCTGAATGTACTATGTGTATCTTCATGAAATCTGGCAAAGTTTTAGTAAACATTACAAGTCTCTTGTATACAAAGTATCAATATTATAATAACAAGTATTTGGTAAAGATTAGCCTGTGAATTTCTGAAGTCTTTATTGAATCAGTCTGAATGAAAGGTGATTTTCATACTAAGAATAAAAACATTTCTTTTCATCTTACAGTTTTCATAATTTATTTGCACAGCCTCTAGGAGTTTTTTTTAATGGTAGAACTTTATACTTTATCTCTTATTTTCTTTGCACTAACACTAACTGTAGCAAAAGTTGAAAAATTAGAAATGAAATCAAAAATAAATTTTTTCTACAATGACATTGTAACAAACAATTACAATTACTTGTTCTAGCAACTTCAGGCCTCTTAACCCTTTCACAACTGCTTTCATTTAATTTTATTGTTCTTTCAAATGGGTCTAACTAACATAACATACCACTAAATCACCTGGTGAGAGCTTAGGGTAAATAAAATATCAAGTTGCATTACAAAATGGAGACCCGTGTGCATTCCTTCAAGAGAAATCATAATATTGTTTTCTTTAATTTTATTTCCTTTAAGTTTCCTTATCTAACTTGGTAAGTTTTAAACTTTGCATTTTGAGTTACTTTCATTAAAGAGGTATATAACAATAAGTAGAAAATATACATAAAAACCAACAAACTGAGCACTTACTTAATTTAGCCTTGAGGCCTTTGGAATTCAAGTGCTTGGTATAGTAAGCCGATTTTTTCTCACTATGTTGGATGTCCAAGAATAATTCATGTAGCTTTCAAATATGTATTTTAGAACACAAAAAAATATGTTAAACACTAGAATAGAATATGTCCCAAACTATTATAATTTATCTAGTTTTTTAATAATCCATAAATAGATTTAAAAAATTCCATTGCTTCTCGGAATAATGTTTTTAGTTTGAAAAGTTTATGTTTGATATATCCACAAAATACTTCTAAGTTCAACATGATATTTTTTGTGATCATTATTATTATTATACAGATCAAAATTAACATTTATCAATAAACCATGTAAGCAACTTCACAAAGGAACTGTTAATAAAAAACACAAACAAACAATACATAACAGTACAAAAATATCTAACTAGAGTTGCCAAAATTGTTTATGCTATTAGTTGGGTGTATGCTTTTAGAGTATGTACGACATTTTAACACTTTAGCAGATATGCTGAATGTACTAATATCAGAATATTTTAACCTGAAAAATCCATTAAAGATATTATACAAAAGTAATATTTTTATAAGGGCCAAAAACTCCACTAACAATGACAATATCCAACTGATGACCTGAAGCAGAGTGGTCAGAGAGACTTTTGTGGTTCGCTTGTAACTCGTAAATAAGGCTAATTAACATTAATTATAATTTTTATTGGAGATGTTTAGCAATTATTCTGGTAGAAGTTATTACATTATTGTAGATCATCTCACATGACCTTAATCTATCATACTGGTCATGTATATTAGAAATAAAATGGAAACCTGTAATTCTAGACACAATAGTCCACTACAGCCAACCATTATATAGATATACAGTACTTTTATCACATTAATTGATTACACAGGTCTGCAAATTTAAACTTCATAAAAGTTGTTTTGGTTTTAATAACGGATTTTCCATAATTCAACTATGCAGACGTT